TTAGATGTAGATGCTAAGAAATGGTCACCTGTTTAATTGGAAGAAGATAAACCAGTCAAACCTAAAACTAGAGAATCTACAACTTTAATTTATGATTCATCAGACTCTAGGATTATGATGTTTGGTGGTTGGTCAAATGCATGGATGAATGATATGTATGCATTAAATGTATCATCAATTGTTGGACCTCCTTATGCTATTTATTCAATTAAACCATGTTTAGGTCCATTAACAGGAAAAACAAAAGTTTCTATAACAGGAGATGGCTTTAAGGAATCACCTAATATTATTATAAGATTCTTTTCAGGAAAAGCTTAAGAAGATGTTCAAGGAGTTTATGTTAGTCCTACTGAAATAACATGTGAAACACCTTCATATGAAAAACATGGAGCTAGAAAAGCTGAAGTTAAAGTCAGTATGGATAAATAAGATTTTACTATTATGAGTCAATTTTATTCATATTTCTTAAATTCAAAAGCTGAAAAGACATTAATGTTTGGACCAGGAGTATTGAGAGAAAATGCAATAAAAATTGATACTATGTTTTATATTCAAACAAGAAATTTGAATAATTAGAATAGAGAAAGTGGTGCTGATGAATTTTAAATAGAAATTACTAGACCTGATATATTAGCAGAATTAGAAGAGGAAAGATAAAGAGAAGCCATTAGATTATAATAATTAGAATAAATGGATCCTGAAGAGAGAGAAAGAATAGAATAAGAATCACATAAGAAAAGAATTGTTAAGAGAAAGAAAGTTAAAATACCATAAGAAGGAGAAGAATAAGGTGAAAATTAAGAATCTGAATATGAAGAAGTTGAAGAAGATGTACCTTAAGAAAAAACAAGATTATAATTGTTAGAAGAAAAAGCTAATATTAAATATACTATTCATGATAATGATGATGGATCTTATGCTGTTAAATATTAAATTGAAGAACCATGTGAAGTTATTGTTAATGTTAAATTAAAGAATGAAAGAGGTGAATATAATGAAATTAGAGGTTCTCCTAAAAAAGCATAATTTTTAGATGGTGTTGGACCTAAAAATAATTAATACACAGGTTAATAATTAGTTAATTATGTTACTAATAAGAATGAAGAAATTAATAAATTAATTGATACATCAAGAGATAATATTAATATCAAAGATAAAAATATCTAAGAAGATGTCAATAGTTTATTAGAAGTTATGGAGAATCTTAAAAAGATTTCAGATGAAAAAGAAAACATTCTTTTATTATTAGATGAAAATGAATAAATATTAAGAACCTTAGAAAAACATGATATGAAAAAAGAAACAGAAATTAAAAAAGTTAATAAAATGTAGGAAGAATGGAAAAATTTATTGAAGATTTCATAAACTGTTGAAAAAGATATAAGTGGTCCAGTTAAATAAGAAGCTGATAAGACAAAAGAAAAGATTAAGAAATTTGAAGAATAATTAAAAGAATATTTATAAGGTCTTAAAAAAGAAACATTTTATTAATATAAAACTGGTATTAAGGACTCATAAGAAAGATTTGCTGAAGTATAAGCATAAATAGATAAATTTACAAAAACACTTTAAAATTATGAATATTATTCAAGAATGTTCAATTTTCCAGATGAAGTTGTTGGCTGTTAAAAAAATTTAGATGCTATCAAATAAGAAGTAGCTGCTGTTCAATTATTATGGGAACATATTAAAAAATGTGAATAAAAATTCTCAGATTATAAGAGATATAAATGGGCAACAATTGATCCAAATGAAATGGAAGATGAAGTGAAAAAGCTTCGTAAATTCTTAATTGATATGAAGGGTATTGATAAAAGATCAAATGTATTCACTGGTATAAATGAAGATTTACGTAAATGGGGTACATTCATACCATTATTAACTGAATTGAAAGATCCAGCTATGAACACAAGTGATAGTAGACATTGGAAAGAAGTTAAAGTTGTTGTAAACCAAGATTTTGCTATTGGAGATGATATGGAATTAGATGTTATTTGGAATCTTAAACTTTTTGATTATAGAGAAAAAATTGAAGATATCTCTGAATAAGCTAAATAAGAATTAAAAATGGAGAAAGGTATAATCAAAGTAGATACATTCTGGAAGGATGTATAATTTGAATTATTGAAACATAAGGATACTGATGTCAGAACATTAAAAATGTTAGATGAACATTTTGAAACATTAGAAGAACATTAATTATAGGTTAATAATATGTTATTGAGTAAATATGTGAAATTCTTTGAGAAAGATGTTGAAAAATGGAAATAAGATTTAGGAGCTATTTATGATGTTATATAATTATTATCAGAAGTACAAAAAACATGGTCATTTTTAGAAAATTTATTTATTTAATCAGAAGAAGTTAAGAAAGAATTACCAAAAGAATCAGAATAATTTGTTGGAATAGATAAAAGTATGAAAGAAATTATGGAATCTGGTTGTTAAATTAAGATAATTTTAAAGTTCTGTACATAACCAAATATGTTAAAATCATTAGAAAAGATCTAAGCTGATTTGAAAGTTTGTGAAAAAGCATTGAATGAATTTTTGGATTCTAAAAG